ACTCAACTCCGTGGGATAGGACAGGTTGGTAAATGAAGTTTTATATCAGTATTTATATAAAATACATGCAAAATAAAGAGGGAATATAAAAAAAAAAAAGTTTAATATATAAAGCGCATAGAGTAGAAGCTCCATTAGCTGCTGGGCTGCGTTAGCATCCACCAGATGCAGCTATGCTACAGAGAACGTCAACTAAACAGTCAGATAAATCAGTCAAACAGAACACAACCAGTGTTCTGACAGCTCCGTTCACTCCCAAAATGAATAAACAGCTCTTTTATTATTTTTCCCGAGATAATGTCAGTGACGTGGTGTTTTAGTGACACAGTTTATCTTTTAACAACAACAACATTTAATAGAGCAGCAATTTTATCAGGTAGGGAACTTTTCCTACATTTAGTAAACACATAACAGAAACAGTTTGATATGTTACGGTAAATAATACGTTAGTCAATCACAATATATAGCAGATAACTCAAAGCTGACCAGCTTTTCTCTTAAGAAACAAAACCGCCGCGTACTGCTTCTTCTACCGAGGAAATGGAGTCGGCTGCTTCCTGTAGCTGCTAGTTAGACTCGTTGGGCTCAATCCGGATCAATATATAAGGCGCACTGTCAGTTTTTGAGGAAATTCAAGGCTTTTAGGTGCCAAATAGTGTGGAAAAAGGTGCCTTATAGTGCGGAAAGTATGGTATATGTATCTAAAATATAGTGATAATGTGCAAAAGAGTGCCAAAGAATGAATAAATGTCAATAATTTTGAGTCAGAATTACTATTGTATTTTCCGGACTATAAATTGCAGTTTTTTTTCACAGTTTGGCCTTTATTACATCATTTTACATGTTGTTTTCGCTTTGAACCACTAGAGGGCGCTTTAGGCCTGTGTTGATCATTTCAACATGAAAACATAAAAACAACTTAACCAAAACGCCACAGAAAATAAAAATCAAATTCTGCAGATTACAAGATGCAAGTAGTAAAATATGCCGCCGCAAACGGGAATCAAGCAGCAGAAAGAACATCTGGGGTTAGCCAGAAACTTGAAAGGGACAAAAAGTGAAAAGCGGAGGAAGGAAAGGAGGAAAACAAAAAGAACCAACCGTGGGCTAAAAGCTAGGCGGCCACAGCTGGAGGAACGAGGTCGTGCTGACGGGAGAGATCAAATCAATTTACCCCAAAAATACGACTTATATATGTCTTTTCCTTCTTTATTATGCATTTCGTGGCTGGTGTGACTTAAAATCCAGAAGGAGTAAGGGGGAGGAGTCGGGGAGCCAGGGACCATTTAAAATCCTCTTTTTGGAACAATCTCTTTAAATGTATCTACTCTAAATTCTTCAGTTTTGTTAAATTTGAATCGATCCAATAGCAGCGCTGGTATCCGGGTGGCAGTGACCTTTGACCCTGTGATGTCACACCAGGCTGCTGTGTTAATCCTGCCCCCCTTTCTCTGTCCAGACCTCCCCAGACAGCAGGAGACCCACAGAACCTCCAGTCCGGACCGGTCCGGACCAGAGCCCCCCGCTTTCAAAGAGGAGCTGGAGGAGGGATGCCCCCCCCAGCAGGGGGGCTGGCTGGAACCCAAGCAGGAGGCCCAGTCTCCACCGGTGACTCCTGCTGGGGGGGGAGGAGCTGGACTAGGACTGACTGGAGACGGGGACCAGCTCCCCCCCCAGAGTCTGGAAGAGGCCCAGAACTGGCCTGAATCCACCCACAGAAACTATCTGAGGCCAGAGAGGAGCCATGTCAGAGACCTGAACCTGCCTGACACCGGCTCGGGGGGCCAGACAGTAGTCTGTCAGAGCGCTAGCTTCCAGCTGGGGGCGCCTCTTGGACTGGACTCAGGTAGGAACCCACTCGCCTGTGAAATGTGTCCGGAGGGTTTGACGTGCGGCGGCCATTTGCCGGCCCGGGTGGAGACTCCCCGGAAGCCGTATGCGTGTGAGATGTGTGAGAAGAGCTACGGCCAGAAGTGTGACCTGAACGTCCACATGAGGACGCACACCAACGAGAAACCCTACGCATGCAACTTCTGTGGGAAAGCTTTCAGGTACAGGAACGCCATGTTGTCCCACCAGAGGACTCACACCGGGGAGAAGCCCTACGTCTGTCAGACCTGCGGGAAGAGCTTTACCGAGAGGCTGACGCTCAAGAGCCACTGGCGGATCCACACTGGGGAGAAACCCTTTTCCTGCCCCACCTGTGGGAAGCTCTTCAGATACAGTGGGAATCTAACCACTCACCTGAGAGTTCACACGGGGGAGAAGCCCTACCCCTGTCAGACGTGTGGGAAAGGCTTCAGCTGCCACACAAACCTCATCTCCCACATGGCCACGCACACGGGGGAGAGGCCGTACCTGTGTGAGGTGTGTGGGAAAAGCTTCAGTCAGAGCGGCTCCCTGCTTCAGCACACCCGGACTCACGCCGGGAAGAAGCCTCCGCCCTGAGGCCCAGAAAGGAGGCCACGCCCAAAATGACCCGAAGCCAAACCCACGCTGACCTGACTGGCCGGTAGCCACACCGGAAGCCACACCAATGCTTACCCGGCCAGGTCATGCTCAGGAAGCACCTGTCCAGATGGGTCCAGATGTTCCCCAGGTTCTCCAGATGTGGATCAGATGTGGGACAGCTGCTCCAGATTCAAGATCAACTGATATCTTCATTCCTGATGTGAATAAAGTTTTGATTTATGTGAGTTCAGAGGAGCTGGTGGATTCCTCCTGATGGGAGGCCTCTGAAGGCCTGGCTGTGGCTGCTTGTGTTTTCAGTGTTTTTCCGATTTGTTAATTTAAATAAAGCTGTTTTGAATTTCTAACACATGGTCAGCTGTGTTTTTCATGGTAAACAATTTTGTTCTTGGAACCCCGTATCAGGATCCAGGACTGTAAGCAGTCTGGAGACTCTGGGACCATGTGGGGATGGGGTGCAGGGCAGTCTGGGACCTTAAAGGTTATCAGAGCTCAAGTTGAGGTTTCTTATTTTTAAGTATCGTGTTGCTAACATGTTTCTTGTCTTTTTCCAGAACTCCTCCAACATATTATCTATAACCCAAAGCCCCA